CTTTCTTAATATTGGCCGTAGTTTTGATGCAGTTCGCATTAACTTAGACATATCTACTTTTTTGAGTTTTTCTCCTGATATGTTTGTATACATGGATTTTACATCTAAACTTACCTCCGTTTATTCCGGTGCCATGTTTTTAATCATTTGAGTAAATTCATATGGATATTTCACTGTTTTTAATAGCCTATTATTTAATATCTTGAGTTTCAAACATGAACTTTGCCAATTTATGTGTTGCTCCATACATGCCAACTATTAGCCTGAATGACTCGCCTTCTTTGTGTATCTTCGGTAATCCGTATGCTGTTGGTTGTCGTGCATCCTTTCTTAATAGTTAATTAATCATCCATTCATCACGCCGTTCTTTGTTTTCCTTTCAGTCTGTCCCGTAATGTTCCATTGATCTTCATAGTCCTTTAAAGCACAATAAGTGGTCCTGTCTTGTAGTATACATTCCATATTCTCGTTTAATTGTTTTCTGGCGATTATCACTCGCTCCTCATTTATCCTCTTAAAGAACTAATTGCTCATTCCCTTGTATGGTCCTGTCTATTCTAGCAAATCGGTTTCCGTTTGTTAGCTCCTGATGTGTCGATCTTATTGTAATTATCTCCACTCCATTTCCTGTTTTGTCTTTTCAGAGAAGTTGTCGGAGATATTAATGGCCTCCACCAGAGTGTTTTCGAGAACCTTTTTCCCATTTAGATGAAAAAAGTTTAGCCTCTTCCTCAGGATCGCAGTGGTTTCGGGATCAAGAGGTGCCGAGACTACATTTACTACTTTATCCCAATCGTCGTACTGATCAATAGGCTTCGTCATCTGGGCAACCACTTCAACTAGGAGCGCAGGCTTTAACTTCACACAGATAAGGGAGGACTAACAGTGGTAATGGACAGAACAAAAAAAAACTCGAAATTTGAGTTTAGTCTGCTCGAAGAAACACTACAACTTTTGGGACCTGGCGATCACCTACTTATAAACCAAAAGTTACTTCCGTTTTCTTTCTTATTTATTCGTCATTTTAACAAAAATGATTTCTTAACACTGCTCATCTCTACTTGCTTTGTCAGGAAGACCTAGGAAAACGCGCATTGTCTGAAGTCCATAGCATGCATGATAATTTCCAGAGTCGGGCCGTGGACTTAGTACATTCCCAAGCGTTTTACCGGCATCGTCAGTGAGTCTTGCCAATTTCAGCACCTCACCAAAACTCGTCGAGACAAGTGAATTCAATTCATTGATCAATTGTTGGCTAAAAGGTTGTGGTACTACCCCAAGACCACGATCCGACTTGAAATTATCATGCATTATATGGACTCCGGACAAGATGAGTTCCACTTTCTCTTTCTGACAATAGGACCAAGTTGCGAAAACATTGCCAAACAACTTATGTGAAACGAAAGGAGACCAAAAACGCATCTCTTGATCTTCATCTGTTAAATAACTCAACTTGACCTAATTTAAAGATATCTAATGTGTTTTCCATTTGAGTCAATGAATGTTTCCCCCATAATTATTGTGATATTTATTTTATTAAGATATTTGCTTCTTAATATTATTTTTCTTATTTAAGTGGAGTTTCGAGACTACCAGTAAATCAGTAATATGAGATGTATTGACCCTGGTAGTAGAATTTTCCCACAATTATATGAGTAGAGCTGACGTTTCCATTGAATTTCACATAGTCTTGCTTTCCCAAAAATTGTTCTCATCCAGAGTGGACTGCAGTTTCGACCTTGCATCGGTCTTATCAACACCCCCAGCAGGGAGTCGAACCGTGACAGTGCAGAATGTGAGCGTGACGGGTTAACCACATAACATTGTGGGAAAATTCTAATACCAGTCCTTCATCACCTCAAAGGAAATAGGGTGAATAAATCTCAAGGAATATGATATGATAAAAGGCCTGGCCTTCCTTGAAATTCACATCTGCCCTTCGACCCACGAGCACTCGTGGCAATGTGGCCGAGTGGTTCACATGTCAAGCTCAGATTCTACACTGTCACGGTTCGACTCCCGCTGGGGGTGTTGATAAGACCAATGCGAGATCGAAACTGCAGTCCACCTTGGATGAGAACAACTTTTGGGAAAGCAAGGCAATGTGCAATTCAATGAAAGCGTCAGCTCTACTCATATCATTGTGGGAAAATTCTACTACCAGTCCTTCATCACCTTAAACGAAATAGAGTAAATAAATTCATATTATCTAATATTACTTTACCTTTATAATTGTTCAAACTCGAGCTCTATATCTGTCATTTGTTAAACACATCCTAGTCTCTCTTATCCCTAACTTCACTAGTCTATTCAGTTGTCTATCATCTTAAGCCCTTCCTTGCTTACTGCATTATACTAACTCTCTTTTCATTCCTTGTATCAATCTGATTTCGTGTGCTTGTATCCTAAATGATCAAACAATGTGTGATAATTAGGAAAAGCTTGGTTTCGAAGAATTTCTTAATAGATTTTTTTGGCATAACTGTCATTTAGTTGAAAGAGGGATGGTAGGGCTTCATAAGTTGGCCTCACCGGATACCAAAGGACGATTGTCTTGGGCTTGTGACTGGATTATGCGAAGAGATCCTCTGCCTGTCGTCCTACGACCTCGATGAATCCTTTGGTTTGATGTATTTTGGTGATTTTTCGTAAATTATTGTTTCTGTCTCTGAATTTGTCCGTCACCTGACGGACGGGCGAAAGCTAGGCAAAGATTCATTCGTAAGATGGTGAACCGAGGTCTCCCTTGCACAATCCAACGGTCACTACTCCAAGTCAATCGCCCTTCGGTATCTGGTCAGGCCAACCCCTTTACCCACCTTTTCAAATGAGTTATATAGTATGCCACTATCGATTGGAAATTATTCTCATTAAAAATATTAGCAATGAACGTTCCATAAGTTATCTTTATTGGTGAAACTCTTGGGTCTAACTAATTATAAATTACTCCCTTAATTCTAACACCAGGTTTGTGTCATATAGGGTGCAGAACCGTCAAATTCTTGGGTTGTTTTCCTCAACAAACTCCTTTCTCTCGTATGCTATCGATTAAGTTCTCTGTCACCAGTATTTCACAGTGCTCTTCGATTCGTTTCTTGTTCTTTCTATTATTTAGTTAAACTCGTGTAGTTAATGGACCTTGAAGTCATAACTATCATGATTTGAAATTGTGATCGATTTCAAGCCAATCCAAATCTTCATTAGATCCATATACCTGATAAGTTACCTTGTTTTCTGACTTCCCGCTCTGTTCATTATTTTATTTTCCAGGCAATGCTCTCAAAATTTTCACAAAACCTTTACGAAGAATTCAGCTTATTTGAGTTCCAACAAGAATCAGATCTTGCCGCCACTCTACAGGCATATGCATACCTTCAACAGCGTCGGGCTGATCGCTGTATCCGATTGTTCTTGCAAGCTCGATGCGCCTTGGTATCCGCTATGAAATCGGTTAGTTCTCAGCACCTTATGGTTAGCGCAAATCTTATGGATAATGCATGTACGGATCACGCTTTACCTCATCCTAATGCTTTTTCATCTTCGGGCAACCTAATTTCCGAAGGACAATCATCTTACCTACCCTTCCATGGCAGCTTACTCATGATCGAAAAATCCCCAAATGACCCATCTCGTTTCTCCTCTGAGCAGGACTCTTCTCTGTCCACCTCATCATTATTTTCAACATCCATGTTATTAGAAGACAAAAACCGCTCTTCAGTAGATATTATCACCGATCCTTTATTGTCTATGCAATCTTCTGACTGATTATGCCGGATTTCATTTGATTTCATCTTCCTTAGTTGTGGGCATTTCTGCCTTCTATTTTATCTACTGCTGATTTTACCAAATCATCTATCCATCACATTGTATTAATCCATTGTCCCGATCCCATTTCATTTCATTTCGAGATCTTATTGATCTATTCTCAATGCTATCGAATCGGTATTCAATCCTCATAAATGTGCAATTATCTACTTTTTAGGAAAATTTATCGCAACTCTTCCATTTTCCTTTTATGTTATTTCCTCGTGGACTTTTATATCTTACATTATAAATACAATGTCTAAATTACATATCACTAATTCTTTTATCTCTATTTTAAATACGGAATTTGTTACTTTTCAATTAGAATATAATTTCATTTTAATCTTAAGAGAATCATCATTTTCATGTGATGAAAAAGTATTATAATACAATGGGTCCAAGATTAAGTCTGGGTTACTTGTTCCTAATCCTATATTTTCTGTGCTTAAGAAAAAGTCCGGCATATACTTATTCCTATGTTCCACACTGGTTTTTAGGTCCGATTTTTTTCGTATCGGCTTTGGCTAAGAATGATGCATCTACTGCTGAATGTGTGGCCTTAATGTTTATGCATTCTTTCTTCTTAGGATCGTTAGTTGATCGAATGTTCAAACGTTTATATGCATTCTAATCAGCCGTGTTCATTTGCTTACATTATGGACTGTGACAGCCTCGGTTCCCACTACCTCTTGTAATTTATGCCATCTTTCTTTAACACATCACTATGCTAAAAAGAGCTATAGCGTTATAAATGCCGATAAAATACTCAGGTATAGTTGTATCAAGGATGAAACTAAGCATACTTAAATGTATCGATGCATATAACACAAAAGGAGGTGCATTGTTATGAAACGTCCAAGATAAACATTTTAGTCGGGATGATTTCCATTGATGGTGCTGATAAGACTCATGTAAGAGCGAAACTATAGTCCAATCTTGATTAAAATACTTTTTGAGCGAGAAGGCTGAATTAAATTCAATTTCACAATAAGGTATATTCATAATTGTGCAAACATTCAACTATCGCTCCATCACCTTATGGGACCTAGGGGTATATGGTTCATAATTAAAGGTATTTGTAGAATTTTTATGGGTCTTAGAGGCTTGAGTTGGCTTGAGTCCGGCTTACCGGACTGCAAGGCGTTGCTTACATTGGATGATTTCTTTGCTGGATACTTGTATGTCATCTATGTAAATTAATGCATCGTCCAAGCCTCGGACAATTATATACTTTTTGAGATGGAATTCATACTGGTAAATGCAAAATCCAATAGAACTGCTACCTTTCGTTTTGTATGTGTAGGAAGGACATACTGATAATTCTTGATGAACAGTTTTGAGATTAATCGTCGAAAATATAATTTCAATGTTTAGTATATAGTTGAAATCTAAGCTGGTGAG